CTTATAATTCTGGAGTAAAATGAGAGGTTTGGACCTCACTCCTATTTCCTTAAAAAAAAAACCCAAACAACCCAGAAAAATAAACCATCACACTCAAAAAACCCACCCCACATCCTTTGCCACAGTCAGCCTCATGGCTGGGCAGAGAGCACAACGCTGATAATATTGCGAAGTCCAGTTCCCCGGCCCCCCAAGGGATAATTTTCTGCAGATACAAGTAGTTCAAGGAACCGTGATTATGTGGCTTGTTGGTGTTTTTGGTTTTTTTTTTGTACTTAGTATAAAAAGACTGACAGGCCTGAAGACTGACGACATTATTTTCTTATTGGAAGACAAAACATGGCCTCTGAGTTTCACTGAAAGAGTAAGGAACATTCACTTCCTTGTCCAGGAAAGCTACTTAGTTATGCAAACTGCTATGTCCCTTCGCAATACAAATTTGGACCTGAGGTAAGAAACAAATGAACAATCAAAACCTTATTTCACACAGGCCAATAGGCAGCTAAGAATTTTCAGTCATTATCAACCTTTGACTAAAAATTGACCTGAAAATTCAAAATCTTTGCTTCTCACTCAGTTAAACCCAGAAAATAATTTTGCACATTTATTAGAAATAGGTGCTTTGCCAGTAGAAATGCTGCTTTACCATCAACATAGCTACCACCTTTCTAAAGTAACAAAGCCTGATGATTATTACTTACTTTCCATGAATCACAGTTAAAGAGAGCACTGAGGCGCTTCTCAGGTAGTCTCTTTGAATCATGAATCAAAAAGGAAAAAAAAAACAGCCTCTGAAACATCACTGTGCCCAGATTCTAGATGCCTAGAATGTACCATAGCTTATTTATAGTTGCAAGCTGTTGGGCAGTTTCACATACTAGAAGTCAATGGTCATACAGAAGTTTCTCTGCTTCAGTTATATTTGTAAAATAACAGAACCTGAAAATGGGAAAGCTCTATCCATATCCATGCCACAGACACACAAATGAGAACGTGAAAGCTGAAACTTCCCTCTTTCAAAATCAACTGAAAATCCACTCTGAGAGTAAATAGGGTGTAGGAGCCAGAAGGCTCCCCAGGGCACAAACCCAGGTTGGGCAGACACCAGCAAATCTTGACAGACCCAAAGAGAGTTTCTACCACCAGTCATTACTGCCCAGCACACCCTCAAAAGCCTTGTACACCATGGATTTTAACCTATTACTTAGTAGCTCATTAACAGATTCAGCTTCCAGAACTCATCTATGTTTTATTTATTTTCCAGCCAAGGCTACAGTAAGGCTTTTACTCACCTCAGCAGGACCACAAGAAATTTCCTTCCTTATGGACAGAGGAGAAAAAACGAAATGCTTTCAGACTTGACAGAGCTAGACAGAAGCAGCAATTATCTGACAAGAGGCTGACACGTTCTTCACCGCTCTTGCATAAAACATTGAGCAGTTCTCCTCAGGCCCACCTCAGCTTTCTAAAATTCTTTATTTATTTTTCTGCTAACTGCTTAGCAGTTTAGCAAACTGCTATTTAAGAGCAAGGGCAAATGTCTTCTTTATTTTAGGGTATGAAAGCACTCATAAATAAAAAAAAACCCTGGCAAGTTTTTTACCTTCCTTTCACCATCCTTCAATTCTCCTTTGCTTGCAAGCCCTTCTCCTTTCATGCAAAGGGCTCGGCTTTTCCTCTTCCTGGGCCTAACACCTCTCAGACAATCTTCCTTCCAATGAAGGAAAGGAACACTATCCAAGTCTTCCAGCCTAAGATGGAAGAGGTGTCTTGATTAATTAATTCACTTCCTTGGCACACCAATGCTTGTTAACCCCAAGTACCTTCATCTGGCTTCTCAGGCTCCAAACCACCATTTTTATAGGCTACCTTGGAGTGACCCACCACTTTCACACACCACTTTGAGCATCTGTTCTGCCATTCCTTAGCAGAGTTCTTTGATCTTCCGTATCTAGATATAGTTATTCCCAACTCCCCCCCCCCTCCAGTTTTGTAGCTAGTCTCTCTAGTGACTCTTGCAGAGGTGAGGGACAACACTTCTGTAAAGTAACTGCTTCCCAGAAAACCTCAGTCTTGCTGTCATCCACCTGAAAATTAGAAGAACAGCACTAGTAACCTAAGGCACTAATAATCACTCAATAAGTATAGTCTCAGCAAACAAATACTAGAGATTAAAAAAAAAAAAATAGCCTAAGCAAGGCAGCATGCTACCTGATCTGGCACGTACATACTTATACACACACCAACAAGCTAAATCACAGGGTCTGCCCCTTAGCTTTGAATAAGCATGATGATATGCATAAAAATATCTTGCAAGTACTGGAAACAGTAATCCTGTATTTGCCTCTGCAACAAATTCTGCTTCCACCTCCTTTTAAAAGGAACTTATGTGAAGTGATAGTGATGCTAACCAATTTCAGAAGTTAAGATTTCTTCCTGATGTCATGTTCTTTCTTCAGCACATTGGCCAGCTGCCACACTTTAGCAGGGAGATGAAAAATTTGCAAATCCAGTGTCAGATATGATTCCTATATATTTATAATTTCCATTCATATTGCAAATGTCATTAATGAGACCTTAAAGAATGTCTCATTGTAAGCAGTGGAAAATTTATGCTACTGCTTTTCTGTCAGTGTAAGAGCAGTGCATCTATTGCAGCTGTATGAACATACATACATTCTTTGTTTCATGTATTTTTATTATGTTAATTCTGTGCTTGCTGAAGTGAAAAAAAATAAAAAGGATGCCCCTCTCACCCGGTTTTCTTTTGTTACATCAAACACTTTCATACTGTATTTTATGTAAGATTTTCTCTTCATCATCAAAACTTTCTACCTGAGCATGGTTTACAGTATTAGAGGCCATGCTAAAAAAATTAATCAAACAAGATTAACAGGCAGAATGTCACTCCTACAATAAGTGCCAATATAGTAAAATGGCTGATCTATTATATTCTGCTACAGTAAGAATTTGATACGTACTGACCAACAAATCTGATTTATCTTCTGTATGTGTAGTCAGAATTGTGATTACATGAATCCATCTATCTCTCTGAATATGAAAGTGCGTTGTGAAGAATTTGATGTCATAGACTAGTACATTTAAAATTGCATACATGGTTAAATAATAGCTTATGTATAATTTTATTTGTCTTCAGAGTTACAATGTTCATGAGATAATAATAGAGACCACATTATATATTATTGCTAAACACATTTTTGCCACAAAAAGGTTGAAAGCATTGGTAGAAAATCCTATGTCAAGTTATGCGAAAATATTTATCACCTGTAACCAAAATTTCATAAAACCAATGTACACTTTATGTAGTATTATGTCAGAAAGTTCCTTCTTTTTGCAAATAAATTTTGCTCTACACTTTTGTATGTTTGCAGCTAAGGAGTGTTTCAAATGCTTCTGTGTGTTTGTGTTTGCAGTGCACAGGAAAAAATATTCTTTTATTCCTACAGTAACTATAATTGTCAACACCACTGCACCCAAGAATGGGGAATTATGGTATCTTAATTTTAGGAATAAATTGCCCTTGTATTTTTCTACTTAATGCTGAACATAACGTTAATTGGTATTTACCTCCTAATGTTTACAGAACACAGACTGCATATTTCAAAGACATAATCCTTACCAACTATATACTAACTTTTATTTCAGTTTCTATTATATAAATTAGGACTCTGTTGAATTCTTATACTGAGGAACAAATGATAGTAACTTTATTGAAATACATGCACAGTACCGTGCACACAAAATGATGAAATACTGTTTTTCAATGGATTAATGAATCAATAGAAAAATAGATTTAATAAATCGTTAACATTTAGAAGTCTAGATAAAAATGGGAGATCATGCATTTCAAGCAAAGTTTTATTTTTTCCTTGTTTCCTTTTTGATTAAATCTCTGAGAACTTAAGACATGCAGAGCTGAGAAGCAGCTCACTCTGAACAAAGAACAATGTTAACACTGCACAAAAAGGTTTGATTGAGACTGTTTATATGCAAGACTGAAAAAAGTTGCTATTCCTGGACTTCCCTTCAACATTAGACAGTGCTGTGCAAACCTCAGACAAATCCCTGTATTGTGATTTCTAAGCTGTTAGGAAGTCTCTCCGAGAGCTAAGAAAGTAAAATCCTGAGGAACTGCCTCCCCAAAATTTATGACAAGAAATGTTCTGACAGCAGACTACAGAAGCAGAATAGATAACAGTTTATCCTTTCCTGAAAAAATTAATTTAGGGGATGAGTAAATGATGGATAGAATATATTTCTAAATAATAATGAAAACAAAATTAGGTGCAAATTGAATTTTCCAGTATTTAGAGTGTGTGTCTGTGTCTCAATATTTAGAGTACATGTTTATGTCTACCAGTTTATGAAACAAATGAAAAGTGAGTACTTACGTGCAATTAATTTAATGTTTTTTTCCTACCCCAACATTTGTTTGGACATTGTCAATGTAATCAAAGAACTGTAAATTTTCAAAAGTGAGTCTACTCCAGTGAGCTTGATTAATTATGCATTAATCCATTTCTCTGAAGCATCCTTCACTAAATCTTTGGTGGGAAATGCACTTTATTAGGCATGAGCTTTGGTTATTTCTGTGCATATGCACTATAGTACCGGTCAATATGCAGAATGATTTAAAGTTTGCCATGTTACAGAGATTAATTGTTCATTAAAATAATTCTAGTGTTTCAACAAACAACACTGATGGCTAGTTTTGCAAGTATTATCATCTTCACTCTTAGCACAACCTCCTTAGCCTTATGGTTTTTGCTCAAACTTGCATTGACTTCTGTTCTTACAAAAAGTTACACAAGAGTAATCATGATCATTTGAATACCTCACACATTGCTAGACATTTTCAGCAGGTACACTTACTCACATACATAAAAGTTAGCAGAATAAGTGAAAAGATGTTAAAGATGTTAATGCTTAGCTGAATAAAATTTCTCAGTGTAGAAAGAAAGTATAAACTAAAAGTACAGGTTAATGAGACCTGTAATAAACTTCACTTGGAAAGAAGTTGAATTGGCTATTGATATGACAATGTTTGATTCAAAAGATAGTATTGAACCTATGGCATATTGTCATTATAGTAGAAAAAAGTGAAATGGAAAAGAGAGAAAAGCAAATTACTCATGGCATTCTCTTCCCATACTCCATGGCAGAATTAGCCCATGGATCATAAATGGTAACACATGCAACAAAAAAATATGCTGTATCACTTTATGTAAACATCTGCTTTTGTCATGCAAAATGCCTACAAAACTGTGGAATATTTTTTTCTAGTAGCATAGTTTACATTAGCCTGGCTACGGAAACTGTTAAACCAAAATCCATAATTTTGCAAGTAGAAGATATTCTAAAATTTTTGAAAGATTTCCAGCATAAATATTCCAAAGCCCAACAAAGCTAATTGGTTTTCTAAAAACTAAACTACACAGGCTTATTCCTTGCTGTGGTTTCTTGTTCTTTTGATGATAGAAGAAAAAAGACCAGTTTTTGGAGGAGGTCCCATCAACATGGGGGCTTGGTTCTTGTGAGTAATTTTTATCTGGGGAAAGAAAGAAGAAAAACAGAGTTATCCCTTGAGCTAGTCCAATCCCAAGTACCTGAGATACCTGAATTATCTTTATATGTGACTTCCAAACCTCAATTTCACCAAAGATGAAGGGAGAATACTTGCACTTTTTATGAATGATGTTGCATGTGCAGTAATCCAATCAATGAGTAATTCTTTTTTAAACAAATACTTTCACTTATATACACAATAAATATTGAAATCATATGCAATAAAATACATGCCAATATGTGATCTTACTTTTTGAGTGTGGGATTTACTGGTTGCTGCTGAATATTTTGCGTATCTACAAGATGAGTAAGAGTTTAAAAGTCGGAAAGAACACACATGCTGTCACACCAAGCTGTTGCCTATTATTAAGAGATGAGCTGTGTCTTTGTATGCTTTATCTAAAAAAAACCCCATTATGAACAAAAGTCCAAAGCTAATACACAAAAAAGGTCAAAAAAGATGAAGTAGCATTCTAATTTGTTAATTAATTGTTAATAGAATGGACTCAAATATTGAAAAGCCTATTTAAAACACTTTGTAAGATTGCTCTAAAGCCACCCATTTTGATTTCTTTTATATAAAACTACGAATCATCTTAAATGAGACAACCTTAAAGTAGATTATGTCTGCAATTTTCTCTAATTCAAGTCTAAATTAGAGAAGACATTTTATGAATGTATGCTATGCTCAAAGCTAATTGAAAGCAATTATCAAAGTGGCATTTTGTCTGTGACTTTAAGATACATTGTAAGATAATAAATGATTCTCATTATGTAATAAAAAGGTCACATCTTGCCTTTGGGCTAGTGACGCTAAGAGTTTTTCAAAAGCAATCCGAGACATTTTCTTTAGTGAACTACGACTAATACAAGAACCATCACTTATTAAATATCAGTTGTCACCTGCACAGTACCCACATCAGAGATGGGTATTTCTTTCTGAAAAAGAAACACCACCTCATTAAAAACTGGAAAAATATATCTCTTAAAGTGCATACCTGACATTTTCAAGTTAAAATGAATAGCCTTCACTTGTCATTCACCAATAGTAATGAAACAAAAAAAGTATGTCACGTGGACAGGCTCATTAAAATATAGATCAGGAAATTTCTTGGGGTAGAAATTTACTTTACAATATAACGAGACAGAAACATAAAAATCTCAACAGAATGAGTGGGCTGGTTTAACTCTTCTAGAGCCTTTGATTTACTCTTCATGTGCTGATTTCCATGCCCCCTTAGTTCATAAATCTCAAATTTCATATGTGATTTCTTTTGTCAACATTGTTCATTAGTATAAAATTTAGCATATGGGGTTTTTTTTGGCAACCTAGATTAATTTCACACAGACAATAATTCTCACTTCCAAAGACTGGCATCGATACATTTTCTCACAAGAAATTCTGCTTCAGGCAACACTTTGGAAGCCAAATCTGTAGTTGGGGTAATCTGGAGTTATTCCACTGATGTCACTTTATACCAGCAGATCTGGTCCTTGAAAATCTCCACAAGGATTTTTGTATCTTTCACATGCTTCATAAGACATTTTGGGGCTCAGGAATAGTGACAACATCAACCTGATACTGAGGATAAATACATGAAGTAATCTGTAGCTGCTGTGAGTGAATTCTTCAAGAGTCATAAGGATTCAGCTTATTGCAAGATTTGGCCATGATGTGGAAGTAGGAATGGCATCAGAGGTTCCTTTCAGAGGTAAATCATAGTAATTCCATTTTACAATGAATAAAAGAGCAAAGCTCAAAGGATGGAGGTGAAGTAATCCTGAGACCCCATACATATTGCACGTTGGATTGGGACTCTTCAATGCTGCTGAGAATTGAGGAAATTACATATTGAGAAAATGTTTATAATTTGTAATGTTCTTTTTTGGCTTGAGCCATCTGTTTCAGAGAACATGACCTCTCCAGTATGTTGTATCCTATCAGCTGAGATCAGCTAAGATGCTTGAACATGATGCCGGAACCACTCATGCACATGGGGATGGAGTCCTATGTGCATTTCTTCAAGACATATTTTCAACTGGTACTAACTGGCACTATTCCAGTGGTTTAAAGCACATTTTACATTCTAAAAATACAAAAATGTATTGTAAAATTAAAGTATATATTGTTGCTTATGCATAGTAGTGTACGTTAACATTGTATTGGTTAACAATGATAAACATTGATTCCTTACTTTCCCGCTGAAAAAAAACGAAAAGATTAAAAAAATCTTATCTTGGGGTGATAAAAAGAGATCAATAGGTTTGTTTTACATGCTGAACCATTGTAAAAACCTTTCTGAAACTGGCTAATTTTGTTTTCCTGAAGACTTTCAGGAACTGCATTTCTTCTCTTTTTTTTTTTTTTTTATGCTGGCAGCACTGCCAGAGTTGGTGCTGGGAGTTTGGATGGCATAAGTGACACAATTTGACATTGTAAGCAGTGCTATGTATGTCAGAAAGAGAAAACAGTGTTGTAGACAAGTAATTCCTCTTAGGGAGAAAGTATATAGGCACGTGAATTGCTAAGATACAGTGGCTTTTTTTTTGTAAGGTTGATACACAACATTAGAGGCTGAATTCAAACTGTTGAAGCCAACGATAAAACTCTCAGTCACTAATTGAAGCCAAGATTTTTATCCCATGACTTCATGATCACAGAAATTTAAAGGACTGGTATATCCAGTAAATAGGTTTAGCACAAAAGAATGCATTTTCAATTTCAAAATAACCTTTCTAGTACTAGAAAGTGTATCCAATGATATACTTGTGGGAAGGAACATCAGATCTAATTTAAAAAGAGCATAATACTTAAAAGAAGAGATGGTAATGCTCCCTATTTGTCAATAGCAAATATTCTGCTAAAGGAGAAGTGTGAATTTGTGATAGTAAACATATTTATAAATGGATAAACCAGACATTTATTTGTTTCAGGACCAGGGTAGAGTTTCAGAATATGCCTTGAAGTCACATTAATAGAATGCATTCACTAAATGAAAAGCAGTAAGCATCAATAATTTTAGTGTGATTACTGTATCTTTTAGGCCAATCAGCTTTGCTTTCATGTTCCTTTTTCTACAACATGTGCTGGTTCCCTATGTGTTCCTGACTTCACAGAATGCCTAAAGGTTTACTGTTAACACAGAACATGGTGGAATAAATACGGGTTCTAACAACGATAAATGACAACAGAAAACTGGAAACAGAGATAATAAACTCTGCTTATAATATTTCAAGGCATGTTAAAGAAAGAAACCCCAGGACAAAAAAAATGATAGAAAAAACGCTTAACAAGATGGATGTAGTAGTTTATAGTCACTTTATTTCATGCTATCAGGGTTTGGATGTTGGTAGTTTTGATGGAATGAGGGTTTTCCCACAGTCTAGGTGCCCATATTCTGCTTCCCTTACAGGAAATGGAGGAATGTGACACTTACATATCACAGAAATAGCAAATTTTATCTTCCTGTAGGTGATCAAGAGCTGTACTGGGTATCACAACATGAACAAGACCTATAGAATGTAGGCAGTGCTAAACAAAATTAACCTGTGACTTGCATTCTGTGGCATTTGGGTCAAAAACTCTTCAGATCTAGATCAGTTGTTTTAAATGTAACGTTATGCAACACATATTTTAAACAGATTTCTTAACAATATTATTGTGCAAAGTGCAATCAAATCTAATCAGTTTGGCATTAATTAAGTTCTAATAATATACTCTAGTCTCTCTCCTAAGTAGTGTGATCCATTTCCCCTTCACACAGGTAGATTGGAAAACATTCTGGTGTCATCATAATTTTTAAACATACTGAGAAAATGACAGAGCTGCAAAATTAAAATAAATGATTAATGGCATTTTTTTCATGTTTTGTACTAATAGGTATCACTGAGGCTTTAAATTAATAGAGCTGTCAAGCTCAGGTTGTTACAGATCCCGTGCAGAACTAAAATGGAAATTATGTATTCTACAGACACCTAAAGATGACACTTTGGAATATTTTAAATTTTAATTAGTAGGTGCAATTGTTTTCCCCTCCTCCTCCCTAAAACCACTGCAAATTAATTGTCAATTAGTCACAACTAATTCTTTTCTTAACAATCTGAACTGGAAAGAAAGGTGAATTACATGTTAGAGTATTTGTCTGGGGTGCAGAAAGCACACATGCAGTAAATTGCTTTGTCAATTACAAAAAACTACTGTTGTGAAATTAAGAAAAAATATGCATAGGAAAACAAAACTAATTAACATGTAGTGTACTCGTGAGCACAAAAAAAACCCCAATGCCCAGCTGCAAAAGAAAGTGTTAGAAACTCAGTAAATCACTCTGGCCTTGAAACAGAAATGTATGAACATTTTTGCTCAAAATGGCAAAAAATGCAGCATTTTAGTATAACACCAGGAAATTTTTCTATCCAATGACTTCCATTTATGGCTCAACTTTATCTAATATTCTGCTTGTTCAATAGTCTAATATTCTACTAAAATCAGCCACCATGTTTAGGACCCAATTCCACTTTGCTCTAAAAAAAGCAGACAGTTAAAATTCTCCCATTTTAAGGAACCGATAAGAAAATATTACTACATTTGGTGACATGGGAAGAGGATACTTTACAGACAGTCTGGAATACATCTGTGGCTTCTTCATGTGATCCATGTTGGAGCCAATGGATCTATATGAAAGCAAATCTGTGACTCCGTTTTATTCTTCTCACCCAGCCCTGCCATACAGTGATTACTATTAAAAGCTTGTGTTTTTTCCCCCTTTTTTTAGCTTGTTTCTCTCTGGATTTAACTACAGAAGCAGGATGTTACAAGGCTAGAGAGGAACCATTCATTCATTCAAAACTTATTTTTAAGGTGCATATGAATTGCAATATTTTGAATATTATTTCTGAGTTTCATTATTAAATGGTCTACTGGAAGGATTCCTACCATTAAATAATTCTAAAAATACTATTTGTTTCAGCTGACTATGAAACTACATTCCTGGCATTCCATTCGGTGGGCTCTGACTACAGACTTTCATTATTTCCCTTCATTTAGGCAATATTCTTGCATCTTCTATAGCCATTTCAGTCTTCTACTTTTAATCTAATGTTGTTAGCTACTTGATACTCTTTCAGATATGATGCCAACCAAGTCTGGAATAGATGAAAGAACTGAAATCACAGTTCTTTCTAATTAAGATGGAATGTTCATGGATTTTTTCAAAACAATGCTAATAATTTATGTAGCTAAATTGAAAGATTACTTTTCTTTAAAAAAAATCCTGATGGCTAAAGCTAGAAGTTTATTGAATTAACTTGAGAGTCTTTGAAGTTTCATTACTATTAATGACCCTTTTGGAGATCAGGTGAAACCATAGATATCTTTCATGTTGCTATATTTGTCTGGGAGAGCTCTGATAGAATTTCCTCTTCAGCTAATTAGACAAGATGTTTAACATAACATTATAATCTTTCCTTCTCCCAAAGATTCCTCTATAAAAACCAGTGAAAACATTAGAACTTGATGCTCAGATTCTGCATCTTATTATAACAGAGCAGAGTGACTTTGTCAGACACTGCAGTCTGTACGTGTTTAACACACTGAATAATTCTGGATGACAGATGTTTAGACCAAGCCACTCACATTTTTAAGCATTCACAGGACCTGCAGGAACACATTCCTGCTCTCATCCAAGGACACTAGCTGTGTGTGCAACAGAAGATCATGAAAGATGTTTGAAGAAGCACATATCAATTTCTTTAGTACTAAAACTAATAGCAAGAGTGCAAAATCACAGATAACAGCTTCTGGGGAATCACTGTGCTGTTTGTTGTATCTCACAGTATTTTCTCTGTGCTCACACTGTCATTTTGGGGGAATGTGAGAAGGGATAGCTGTCAGCAACTCAATCACAGAATCTTAGGGGTTGGAAGGGACCTCGAAAGATCACCTAGTCCAACCCCCTTGCCAGATCAGGATCACCTAAAGTACATCACACAGGAATGTGTCCAGGCAGGTTTTGAATGTCTCCAGCAAAAGAGACTCCACAACCTCTCTGGGCAGCCTGTATCTGGGCTCTGTCACTCTCACAGTAAAGAAGTTTTTTCTGATGTTTACATGGAATCTCCTATGTTCCAGTTTGCACCCATTGCACATAAATTCTCATGCTACTTGTATAAAACTTCTTCCCAGTCAGAAAATCAAAGTAGCAAAGACAAACTTATTGCCTCCTTCAATAGGAAATATACTTCAAAACCTACATGTGCAGCCTGCATCACATACATTGATGCAGAATTTGTTTTCCTTAATAAGCATAACAGAATAACAGGAGAGTTTTGATCATGTTGAACTCAATTTCTTGAAAATCCATTCACAAAATACTCTCATTTGTATCAAAAGCTGAAGAAACAGAGAAGGACTTCTCAGCTTACTGACTTGCACCTTGGGCCAGAGCTGATCCAATACCTGCTGATTGTATGAATTTCGTTCTCAGTCTTGGTAATTTTTATAGGTCAGACCATAAAACCACTGAACTTATATGAACATTGTAGCAAGAATTGCTTATGTTCCCATCCTAACATATGACATTGAAGTTCCTGAGATGACCATACCAAAATAAAATGTATTTCTTTTTTTTTGGAGACAGATGGAGAAGGAGGGATAGCAGTCTTTTTTTTTTTTTAACAATAACTTTCTGACTGGAGCACCAAAGAATCAAAAACCTGAGGCTTTTATTTTTTTTTTTCCCATTTCATTTAAAAACTGGTCATTAACCACTTGCTTTCAGGTAATTTTGGCAGAAAACTGCAGTTTTGCCTCTAGAGAAGGCAAAAGCTCATGATTCTTACACTGGTTTCCTCATATTTTTTCTGAAATTTGAGCACTTGCAGGTTCAAATAACTGGATTCATAGTTGGCTACACAAAAGAATTTTTTAATTCTTTTTATGTTTGGGGTTTGTTGTGGTGTTTTTGTTTGTTTGTTTGTTTGTTTTTTTCAGATTCTGGACACACATCACTGAGATATCAACCTGATAGTTACGTGATCAGAAACATTTTGCCTTACAAAGACCTCTGCAAAGCTCACAATTAGAAATCAAATCTTAAAACTTTTGAGAGACAGCTATCATCCA